TTTTTTTTTTGTTCGTTTGAAAGAGTATGTCAAGATGCAAGGTATGACAGAATGACATGTTCTTGCAAACAAGAAAGAATGACGATTCACAGAACATTTTGAGTTGCCAGACGAGCTATTTTCGAGTCTTATTTGTTGAACACTCCTTGAAAACTTTACCATGGCTTCTCCATTACAGTCTCAACATATTCTGAAAATTTCATGCGACGTAAATGTACCTGGGCCAAGATTGTTTTTTTTTTTGTTTGAGGAGATAATCTTAAACTTACAGATGATCACATTCGTCTGTCATTAAACCAAAAGGTGCTTTAATTGCATTACTTTTAATTATTTTTCCATATCGTATACGAAAATCTGGTGTTATACGTAATTCATGAATTGTATGTTCTTGTTTATTAGCATAATAAACTATACCCGATGAAGTAATAGCAACATTTCCTTCATTTAATGTATCATTTAGAATAATTGGTTGACGTATTAATATACCAGTATATGTATTAAATATTGAATAAATAAGACCAATATCTGTTGATATAAATAATATTGATTTTTCTGTTCCAGCATGATTACGTTTTATAGTAAAACCATTAATATGCATATCCTTTTTATTAGAACGTATTAGTAATGTTTTAATGCAATTTTTATCTTCAAAATTTAATTGAAATTTATTAAAAGTTACTTCACAAATACGTAATGATAAAAGATTTGGTTTTAGACGTGATTCATATATAAAAAATAGATCACGATGATCATTTATTGATAATGATGCACTTGAGGTAGCATAAATAATATTTGTAGTTGTTAAATTTACAATTAAATTAATTGTTTGTGCATTATATACATGTAATTGATATTTTGGTTCAATAAATATTAATAAGTCATCAAGAGGAGAATAAGCAAGAAAATTATGAGTATAAACACGGGAAATATAAGTAATATTAGATGATATTTCGGATGTTTTATATTTGCCAAGTAAAAGTATTGATTGAATCTAAATTTATAATTGCAAAAAAAGTATCACTAAACTGAATTGTTTTGATAGTATATAGTTCATTTCTACTAAATCTGAAGATTGAATCCTTACCAAGAAGATAAGTACAATACCTGAACATCAAATTTTACTGCAAGGTGATATCTATGAACGAGAATTATACTATTTCAATCG